TATAATATTCTGCTTTCTTAGGAAGTTAATATATACTCAATCAGTTCTTATAATTTATAGACATGCTAATACCATAAAGGTTCATTACTGTATGGGATGTGTTTTAGAATGAATTAGATTATTCTAGCAGTTAGTTACTGTTCATTGATTCCCAACCAAGTTGTATTTGAGGTGAAAACTTTTAAAAGTATCAAACATGACTAGCCAACAAGACTTCTTCTAATTATAGAATTTCCTCTCTGTTGTCTGCAGTTGAAATAAACCAATATGATGTGATGGCCACAACTTCTGGTTCATACCATGTGTTGTTTTAACCTAAAGCACTCAGTAACTTCCAAACTAGGAGTTATAAATAAAACTCTTTCTGCTAGGTGACTTGTAAAACATTACCCACTGGTTTTTGTTATGTGCCTTTTATTACTTTTTTTCCAAATCTATATTTCCAGAAACCAAGTCACAAAATCTGGCTGTGGTTTTTATGAATATAACTTGTCTGTCTACTTGTAACCCTTAAACACTACTGAAAAATTACTAAATAAGGATTTTAATCATTACTAGTAAATTGAGTGGATAGGAAACTCCTGATTCTGAAATTCTCTGATTATAATCCTTTTTGATCGCTCATTGGAGGTGTAACCAGTCCTACGTGAGAAGGAGCTCTTCACATTTTCTCATTTGATTGAGGGTGTAGTTGCAATACAGAAGAGATTAAGACACAAAAGAAAGAAAATTATCTTTCAGGATCATTTATCAAAAATTTAAAACTTATCAGATGCATTAATTTCAAATTATGCCAAAAGCCTTTGAGTCAACATCTCTTTGAGCTCACATACCTCTGTCCAATTAAAAAATACAGCAGTAAGAGAGAGAACTCTTCTTATAAAGGTTAGGAAGATAGTTCAATATTGAACAGCACAGCTTCTTTAGAAGCTTCTTAAAAATGAAAATTTTAGAAACTACGTATTTATTTAATGTTATATTTTATTTATATTTTGTTTATAGAGGTAAACCCAAAGCAAAGTGCATAAAAATGAAGTAAAGACACCATGTGTAGGAATTTATCTCAGGTAGTAATGTAGAGATGGGCATATAATTATTAGACTGTCGCAGTTCTCTGTAGATCATTCCCTTTGCACATACAAGTCAGGTATCTGAGGCATGGAAGCTTGAGCAGGGAACAGATATCTTATTCTCTCTTACTTATATGCTTAAAGTCACCTGGCACCTGGCTAGACACAAATATGCCATCAAAAACTACCTTCCTGCAGGCTGGATGCAGTGGCTCATACCTGTAATCCCAACACTTTAGGAGGCCAAGGTTGGAGGATCTCTTGAGTCCAGGAATATGAGGCCACAGTGAAGTGTGATCTTGCCACTGCACTTCAGCCTTGGCAACAAAGTGAGATGCTGTCTCACTTTGTGTTTCACATAAACAAAAACAAACAAGTCATGTTCCCAGAGAGGTCTCTCCATGCATTAAAAAAATGTGAAGTTAAAGTGGCCTCGATTGTTTTGGTTGAGCAGAATAAATAGGGAGAAATTAAGTTACTCTCCAGATATGAATGCTGGCAGGAAGAAGAAATCATTAGAACGATAGATGCTAAACATTAAATTAAACTTGAGTTTTCAAAAGACAATGCTGACAACTGTAAGGCAATTAGAAAGCACTTGGTAAAGTAGTTGATGCTCAAATATAAATCCTAATTTACCTCTAGATTTCTTGGTTAACAGATAAACTAAATTAAATCTTAGTTATTCTGAACAGATATTTACTGAGCACTTATTATATGTGCTAGGCACTAATTTAAAATAAAGCTTGAAAATTTTTCAGAAATTAACAGGGAAGTAAAGTGACCAGATGTCCTGATTTGCCAGGCGTGGTCTCACTTTGCCCTCTTGTCCTGGCTTGTCTAGTTTGGATGACATGTTAGATCATCTAATCTTGGTTTAATGTGGCCAAACCTGTGCCCACCAACATTTAAAAGTTTTTACTAATTCTCAGTCTCTAGTTTCCTTGATTATTCCCACATTGTGGTTCTTATTTAACATTTGTAATATATTTCAAGTTATTAAAGAACTTATTCATTCTGTTTTCAACTAATTGAACTGTTTCTACAAATTGAAATAATGTGTTCCTGGCATTATTCTGGAAAAAACAAAGAAAGTAGGAATCCATTTCAGTCTGATAGGAGAGATTAGGGTGTTTTCTTTTTAGGAGCACATGATGATAACAGCTATGCATGGCAGAATTGGGAAGTGCTAGTCAAATAGGGGTATTTGTTATTTTTTCAGGGAGAAGATCGCATATCTGAATTATTTTCTGTACTTCAGTAGTGTGTTGGGACAAACTGGTGGTCGGGAGGGAAAGTAATATGTTCACATATAAATAGTTCACCTTTAGACATAAATGGTTGAAAGAGTGTCAAAACCATATTTCAACTTGTATTCCTTTTTCCTTTTAAAAGTATAGCACGTTTTTCTGAATGTTTTGTGATTTTTAAAAATGTAGAATGATAGTTTTCAGTTTCTATTTCTTTTTTCTTTCTTTCTTTTTTTTTTTTTTTTTTGAGATAGGGTCTCACTCTGGTGCCCAGGCTGGAGTGCAGTGGCACAATCTTGGCTCACTGCAACCTCTGCCTCCCAGGTTCAAGCAATCCTCTCACCTCAGGCTTCCGAGTAGCTGAGACTGCAGGCACGTGTCACCATGCCCAGCTAATTTTTTGTATTTTTTGTAGAGATGGGATTTCACCATGTTGCCCAGGCTGTCTCGAACTCCTGGACTCAAGTAATTCACTTGCCTTGGCCTCCGAAAGTGCTGGGATTACAGGCATGAGCCACTGCACTTGTACAGTTCCTATTTCTTAAATTCCCATCATCTCAACTAATATTTGTAAATAAGAGTATTGTCCAATAGCTCAGATATATAACTTATTAGTATTCTAGTTCTCTCTACCATGTAAATCATAATGTGTTTCATACAGTTCTTCAATAAAAGCAAAAGAAGAGCAAAGAGTTAGAAAACATCTACTTCATGCATCTGCATGCAGCTGTCACATGCAGATCGCATCCTGCTTCATACAAAGCCAAAAGAGGGCACAAGTTTTATAAACTACCTATCGATCCCTAGATTCTAACTCATATATAAATAGTTGATTTTTCTGTTTTGTAAAAATGAGGATATATGTATATTTGTCTCCACAAAGAAGCACAACAGTATGTCTCAGGGACCTTGTACGATGCTAGTGTCCAGGAATGGTCTTTAAGGATCCTGTTGATTTAATGATTCCTTGGCATAGTGTTTGGAGGATCAAGAGCCATTTGGATTCTTTGGAAGGAACAGTTTTAGGCTCCTGACAGTCATACTGTCATGGGATGGGTTCTCACAGAGGAAGTTTGGGCTATTTTTCTCTAACCCAGGCAAATGGAGATACAGTTGTTTTTAACAGATTAATGAGCTAGAGACTACGAGTATCTTCATGATAACCTACTCTGAAAGTAAGATTCTTGTTGAAGCTCTTATGTGTAGATACCCTCGGAGGTATACTCAAAAATTTATGTTTCATTCATGTATAGATAGTCACCTAGAGAGATGCTGAAGTTTCATAAATGGCCCATGATTTTTTGTGGGGATCATAGAAAGGGCTTAACTGTCTCAGGTATGCATTTGGTTTTGGTATCTCATTAATAATTCTTAATAGAGATTGTCCTTTTGTTTTCTCATTAGGATGATTTTACGAGGCTATATGTCCTTACAGAATAAGCACCAAATAAGTATTTTCATCCTTAATGTCACACATGGAGGCATCTCATGATAATGGAAAGAGCCCTAGGCTTTCAAGTCAGACTTCCTGGAGTTTAGATCATGGCACTGCCAGGTCTTGCTGGGCAAGCTTGCTATGTTGCTTAAGCTCTTTGAGCCTGGCTTTTCCTGTCTGAAGATGAGGATGACGCTCCTTTCCTATAGAGTTCTTGTGAGAAAATGAGAGTAAGAACCAGAAGCCCAGCCTCTGAAATATGATCTGTTCTTAATAATTGTTGGTGTCCTTCCTCTTAAGCTACATATTTACCCCTTTCTCCCTGCTAGAAATAACTACACTACTTTTCAAGCACATTAAAATAGCTTTATGCAACTATAATTTAGCATTTTAAAAAATGAGACTCTCTATTAAAGACAGTAGTAAAATAATCCTATAATAAATCTCATTCTTTACAATTAGTCCTGGAAAAAAACAGAGTGGTAGGAAACTAGACTTCTTTTTATGATTATTACTGCAAGCTTCCATGGAGTAACTTCTGCCACCAAAACATAAAACACACATACAACTGCTCTTGTGAATATATTTGTTTTCTTAGGGCCAAAACATGTATTAGATTAAGATTGTTGAACAGATGTTAATTGGTTTTATTTTGCATTGTAGTCGGTTAGAATTATATTACTTACAAGTAATTACTATTAACTTACAAAATTTATTGACTGTATTCTCATTGATTTTTAGAGTCATAGGAAGTACTGAAGGTATTCCTTGAATATCTGGCTAAATAGGCAATTAGTAGGTCACTGTGAAGAAGCTTCATTAAAAAGTCATAAAAATTGTATATGCCACCATGTGTCTGTACCACACGTTCTCTTCCCTGTATAGGCACTGTGTGGTGCAGCCCTGTGGTTCCAGATTTCACACTTAGTGGGACATTTATACCCTGGCATGTATTGGAAACCAGCTGACAGCCTCTTCTGCTGAACAGACCATTGATAACTTAGGCTTGTATTTATGTCTTTGTTATCATTGGGAAAATCTGTAGTCTTCCTTGGAGGGAATAAGTTCAACAGTCTAAACACACATAGGAAATTGACGAGAAATAATATTTAATACATTTTGAAAATCTTTGAGTTCTTTATTCATATAATGAGCTTAGATGTGGGTTATTTGAATTATTAACCAGAAGCTCAAATCAAGCCCTTGCTGTTATGATCAAGAGTTTGCTTTGGCTTTGTTTTCCAGGGCCAGCCGGGGGACCAGGCTGCTCTCTTTGCTGCACAAGCACGGCCCTCCCCTCAGCTCCCTCAATATCCAGGGCTGCAGCAAGCACAGGTACCCACATTTGCTTCATAGGTACTGACAGGATTTTCAAAGCTCGTTATTGGAGGTGGGAAATTAAGTAAATAGAATATATCAACTCCCTATGGTCTAGACTTTGATTACTTCTTCTACGTATAGATTGTAATTGACATTTCAGAAAAGCATTATCAGGATTGTTGAACAAGTCTTAGGATTGATTAAGGAGCATAAAACATTCTAGAAAATCCTTTAAAACTAAATTCAAACATTTTATTAGTGATGATTGTAGATATTGAAATACTTAACAATCCCAGAGTTACTTCTTTTATATTATAATGTATAATGATGTAATTCAGTTTTGAAGGTGTCATATTTGGGCTGGACTCAGTGGCTCATGCCTATAATCTGCACTTTGAGAGGCCAAGGTGAGAGGATTGCTTGAGCCCCGGAATTTGAGAGCAGCCTGGGTAACATAGTGAGACCCAGTCTCTACAAAAGAAAATAAAAATTAAAAAATTAGCCAGGCGTGGTGGCATGCACCTATAGTCCCAGCTGCACGGGAGGCTAAAGTGGAGGATCGCTTGAGCCTGTGAGGTTGAGGTTGCAGTGAGCTGTGATCGGACCACTGCACTTCAGCCTTGGGCGACAGAGCAAGACCCTGTCTCAAAATAAATAAATAAATTGAAATTGTCATATTCAAAGATAGCATCAATGAGGAATCATGGTAGAATAAGAAGAAAACGGGGCTTGAAATCAGACTTTGGCACAGTTCCTAGAAACTTACTAGCTGTGTGACATTGTGTAAGTTACTTACTCTGAGCTTTGGTTTCCTTCTCTGTAAAATAGAGACGAAGGGTGTGAGGATTTAAGACAACCTATGGAACTAACGTAGTGCCTGATACACAGTATAATGCAAATCTTGAGCTGCTTTTACTAATAATTTTGTTATTTCTGTATTCGTATACTCTTACCCTATCCTTCTGGGAATCAGGAATGCAGGGATGTTGGCAAGGTTGATAGTTGGGTTGCTAATTCAGTCTCTGTCCACAGCTGAAAGAAAAGCCTACACTGGCCTACACAGGCACTGAGTCCTTTAGCCTGGATCCATTCATGCTGCCTGCTAGAAGTGCATTATCCATTTCTCTGTCTTCCAAGTCAGAGACATTAAACTACCTGAAAATGTAGTGCTTTGAGGATTTGAAGAGCAATGTTGTTCTACCTTAATTAGCATTGTGTTCTATAAATTGTACCTAGTGATTCAGCAGAACTTCAGGTTTCTCTTTTCCATAAGGTGACAATATACAAAGAACTAGGTACTTGTATATTAATATTCATTAGGAAAATTAAGTGTTCACATTATTGGTAGAGTGCCAAACTAGGTCCAACCAGTACTAGAGGATAAAGAGCAGTTACCAATTGCACTATTCCCGGCTAAGGTATTGATAGTTTTTTGTTATGGTTTTGGAACTGGTTAGTTACTACACACACATTTATCAGACCTGGAGAGGTGTAGTCACGTATTGGGAAAGTGTATTTCATTATTTTAATTTACATTTGAGCATGGGTAACTTTTCTGACTAATTTTGGAAATGATACTAATGATACTTGCGATCTGTTGAACATTGATGTCATCTGTGCACTGAAGGTATGGATGCTTGCCTGATTATTTCTATACAGAAACGTGCCCTTCTCTAAAAATAAGCAGCTAATCTTAAAAGCCAGTTTAAATGAGGATTCATTTTCTTTTAAGTTGACATTTCTGGTGAATCATTACACAGCCAGATCGTTCTGTGGCTTTTCTGGCCAGATTCCCTACATCCAGGGTAGTCCTCCTCAAATTTTGAGTTAGGAGAACCTTTGAAAACAATGAATTTCAGGGGAGTCCTCATGAGTTTGTTTTTGCCCCATATATCATAGTGATGGGAAAGCTGGGTGATAAATGGAAATATTGACTTCTTCCCTTGTGCCTACCTGCAGACCATGCCCCAGGGCTATACAATGTACGGGACACAGATGCCTTTGCAGCAGACATCGCAGCAGCAGGCTGGCAGTGTGGTCTTGTCTCCCAGCTATAACTCCAGAGCCTATCCGGCCGCACATTCCAACCCTGTGCTAATGGAAAGACTCAGACAGATTCAGCAGCAGCCGAGTGGCTATGTTCAGCAGCAGGCCTCGCCGTACCTGCAGCCCCTGACTGGCTCTCAGAGGTGATACATGTAGAAATGATGATGGCAATAATGAACAGTCACATTCTTGGGTTTCTTATGCTTCTTATAGGGCATGGTACTTTATCATTGTTTTTATGAGCTTGCGCATTTGAAAATAATTTGCATTCTGTCATCTCAGTTTTAGTAATATCCAGATAGAGGTTCAACATAAAGAATGCTCCATCTTGTTCATTTCATTCAAAACCCTACAGTTTTGACCCATATCTTCCAAGACATAAGTGTAACAGTCTTTAAATGATACTGTGTTTGCTTCAGTGTTCTTTTTTTTCCTCTTCTCTTTTAAAAATTTTCTGAACATATCTAACAGAGAAAACTCTTGATATTGTTAGGAATGCCTTTCTAGAATATGTTGATTGGAGCAATAAAATGTATGATTCCAATACTAATTGTGCATAGTGCACATGAGATTTTTGTTATAACTTAGTTTCTACCTTTTCCACCTCAGAGATGTTTGGCAAAACAGGATTATGGTAGACTTTTTTCTGTTCTTGTTTAATTAGATCCCTTAGAGCATATAACTGCACTGTCTGTTATAGTAGCTGCCAACCACCTGTGGCTATTTAAATTTAGACTATTTAAAATTAAAAATTTAGTTCCTCAGTTACACTAGTCACATTTCAAGTGTTCATTGGTAGCCAAATGTGGCCAGCAGGACTAGCTTCAGTGGTGCGTGACGTGCACTGTGTTTAGAAGGGCCTGTGTTTAAAAAGGCTTCATGCTCTGCAGTTTCTCTGTGGAAATTCTTACTAAGTTTTGATCAGGGAGTCTTGTGTTTTCATTATGCACTGAGACCCCAAAATTGTGTAGTTTGTCCTTGTGGCCAGTCGCTATCTTATTGGACAGCTCAGAGAGAAAACATTGCAGCCATCGTTGAAAGTTCTGCTGATAGTATTGTCTTACAAGAAGTATCATGTAAAACGTGTCAATCTAGTAGATAGCAGCACAGCTCCCATCTGTTATCATCAATGGCTGCATGATGACTCCAAGTAACCACTCTTTGGAAAGTTGGCAAGGTTGGTAGTAACACATTTGAGAAAATAGATATTTTGGATAATAATTTAGAAAATGTGCATTGTATGTACTATTTTTGTAATAAATAGCAGCATAGCATGGCCCACAAACTTGAACTTCAAAGCCCAAAAGTTCTGGGTTCAAATCCCACCTATGCCATTTGCTTTCTACGTAGCCTTAATAAGTTACCTCTAGCTCTGTCTTTTCATTTTTAAAGTAGGGATAACAAAACTGCTGACCTTAAAGGGCTCTCTGGTGGGGAGTAAATGAAGTAACACATTTCAGCCCTTTTGTACAGTGCCTGCTTCAAAGTAAATGCTCAATTAATATTCTTTTTAAACAAAAAACTATTAAATGTTTAAAAAGTGATTTATTGCATGACTGCAGTTTTACTTTAAGTCATGTGCTTGCTGTCCTTTTTCAAGTGGTCACATCTATTATTTTAACCACTGGGCTTTAGTCTATTTGAATTGTGCAAAGGATTATTGAGCACTGATTGTTTCTTGGGTGGTGTATGTAATGTGCTGGTAGCACTGATTAAAAGTTTGACATTGTGCTTGGGCCTGAACCAGGTTGCATTGTTCTTTGCCAGACTGAACCATCAGGCTCTACAGCAGAGCCCTCTGGTGGGCGGGGGAATTGATGCTGTGCTGACTTCTGCACATCCAAACCTTCCCTCCGTGCCCCTGCCTCAGGATGCCATGAGACCCAGACAGCCGCAAGTTCGACAGCAGCAGAGACTCCTCCAGGTATGGGGCAGGGAGATGAGGGCAATGCCATCATCCTTCAGACAGTGCAAATATGCAACAGTCAAAAAATGAAAAACACTGTAGACGTCAGTTGCCAAATTCTAAGGAGCCCTGTGTATTTGATGCTAGGTACATTGGTACAATTTAGTTACAACTTGGCAAGAATTTTATTTTCTCCATGTATCTACCAGGTTATGGGCAGAAGAGTATGTTTTGCAGAACATTCTTCCCATTTCACAAAGATTTGGGAGGGCAGATGGATGCCTTTTATAGAGTTAGCCTCAGCTTACCCAACCTCTGTTTAAGTAGGAGCCATGCAAATTTTTTTAAAGTTTCATACATGTGAAAACAAAAAACTGAGCCATCCAGATTCCTAGAGCATTCTGCAATCTAAAAACATTTCTATAACACCTCTGGTCTGATAAGTCTCTGAAATGGGAGGAACATAGACTGTTTCAAAGAATATTTCATCTTGTCTCTGTTAGAATCCAGAGAACTGTCATTCACTTATTTGATGTACATTTTAAGTCACTTAGATAAAGGGTTCTTGCCCTTGATACATTTTTGTTTTTTCTTGAGATGGAGGCTCCCTCTGTTGCCCGGGCTGGAGTGCAGTGTTGCGATCTCGGCTCACTGCAACCTCCGCCTCCTGGGTTCAAGCGATTCTCCTGCCTCAGCCTCCTGAGTAGCTGGGATTACAGGCGCCTGCCACCACACCCGGCTAATTTTTTTTTGTGTTTTTAGTAGAGACAGGATTTTACCATGTTGGCCAGACTGGTCTCAAACCCCTGACCTCAAGTGATCCGCCCACCTCGGCCTCTCAAAGTGCTGGGATTACAGGCACGAGCCACCACACCCAGCTTCTGTAATACATTCTTGTTTCTGACTTGCTTATTTAAAAAATATAGGCCATTATGTTGTTTACCTGTGTCATTTGTCTTTAATATTAACAAGCTTGTCCTATGTTATTGGATTGGAGATTTCCTAAGGAGACTGTACAGTGGGCTGTAATCTTATCAGTAGTCCAACTTGAGATACACTCTTACTTTATATACTACTAACAACAGAACACCAAAAATGAGGAGTCTACTACAGCTGGAGTGCCCAAGGGCTGTACTCTCATCTCAGTATGAGGTCAGTGAGAAGCAAACCTGCCATGCAGAAAGGGACACAAAGGAGCTTGTCTTATCCTTGAGACTGGATAGAGGGGAGAAACAAATATCTCCCCTGAGCATTTGAACCACAAGCTCAGGTGGGTTTGAGTCTGAATTTAGTGTGATCCACACAATTCTGGTTGGTAGTGCCCAGGTAACAGGCAAAAGCCAACACATACTCTGGAACTGGGCTTCCCAATTATAAGATGCCATTAGTAGTAAGATGTAGTAAGATGTCATTAGTTCCATCCCAATTTGTGACCTGTTAAAAATGTAAAAGAAAAAAGTTATATCACAAAATTCATAACACCAATTAGGAGAGTATGGCCTACAGATAGTAATCTCAATCATTGTACAGATGTTGTTTCCAATGGTAAAAGCCCTCTAATCCTGTTTTGTCATGAAAATATTTGTAGTACCTATCTCTTAAATGTGTAGAAAGGATTAAATAAGAATATTCAAGTAAACCACTCATTTGATAATTTTACGATTAATGTTATGGCTAATATTATTAATATAACTATTAGTACTCACTTTCTTAAATCATTTTTTCTAAGATCTGAGGCTATGTTTCAGAATTTTTTAGGATTGATAATTTATATTTTGCTCTAGTTTAGAATTTCTCATTTCCAAATCACTGAGGAAAGTTACCACATTGTTTACCTACCAGTTTTAAATCTTGTGTTGGTGTTTTTCAAGGCTGCAAATATGGAAAGCCTTTTCTTATTGAACCATGTGTACTTTTTATCCTAATTAACATAATATGTCCTTCTGGTAATTTTTTCATCATCAACACATTCTTCCCTGGAGATAAGTGATTTGCTTCTACATCAGGATTATACTTTGTACTTCTTTTTTGGTGACTGGCCACCTCTGTAAAGGAAAAGGTTAATAATGATGAAGTTGCATTAGTTTTTCTTAGAAGAGATTCTAGAGGACTAACTGGAGAATCATACTGCAATCATTGTGATTTTGGTCCAACTTGCATTGTTCTTGTTGGGATCATGCTCCCCAGACCTCTGCTAGGATTCCAGATCCATGAGTGTTGTCACTTAATGAGAAATGCCATATGGCAATAACTATTTATTACTTGGCTGTAAAGAAGACCAATAATTGAGGGGATAGTATGCAAACCAAGTTAGAAAAGTGCAAAAGATGAAGAAATGTCTAGACTGTCATCATTATCAGGATGAAGTGTTTGAGTGGAGGAAATTTTAAAGGTCATTGAGACAAAACAACTATTAATATTTTTCTCTCCTCTGTGTCCCACCTGGTGGATGTCTGGTCTGTGCTTCTTCTGTGACTTGGAAGCATTTCCCAAGAGCTGTGTGTTTGAGCCAACCCTGTTACTGACATGATTTCTGAATTTATGATGTAAATTATTCCAGAAGGTCTCATGGCAACTAGTCTGCATCTTCCTTTTGGGGAGGGGGGGAGCTATAAGAATTCTGCCAGATATCATAAGGAATGAGAAGATTACTACTGAGCAGTCCCTGTCCAACCTGTAGTGTAAGAAGGGATAAAACATGTGGAAGGACAAATAACATGAAAGGATTAAAACAGTAAGCAGAAAGGATGGCCCCAGACAGCGCAGCATGGTATAGACAGCAATACTGACTGCCACAGGAAGAGATCTATGGGGTTGGGGTGGTCCTAGAAGGCTTCATGGATGAGCATGTTTAGGTCTTGCCCTCAAAAGGATGAATGAGGTTCAGCAGAGTAGAGATGCAGCAGGCAGGTATATATTGTTTTTACTACAACATAAAAAGATAAAAGGTATATGGGGGAAACAGATTCAGCAGTGCTGTTAGCTTCTTTTAAGTGTATAACCTTTTTACCCTCTTTCCAGTTGCAGCAGCCCCAGCAGCCCCAGCCCCAGCAGCCTCCCCAGCCCCAGCAGTCCTCGCAGCCGCAGAGTCAGACCCTTGGTCTCCAAGCAATGCAGCCCCAGCAGCCCTTGGTAAGGCCTGGTGTTTTGGAATCAGACATGTGGGTTTCTTCTTTAAAGGCAGATTGCATTCTTCATGTTCATAAGATTGTTAAGAATCAACATAGCCTAAACATACCCTAGCAATTTTTTCCTAGAACTGTACCAGAATTTTGTTGTCGTTGTAGCTGGTATATTTATTTTCATAGGAAGATACAAGTAAATATTTGGGATTCAGTAGGTTATACCATTATTCTTCTTCAACGTTGTTTAGACTATTCCACAGACAAAAATTTTTACATAGAGACGCTTTTTTTCCTAAACAATGTTAAAATGATGATTTACTGTGTATGTTTAAAAGGTTATCTTACTGTACTTTTTTACTATAATCTCAAAAACCATGGGTGTGCTTTCTAAAATATTATCTATTATCTTCAATAAGAAATTGTTTTTCAGTTAGTTAGCACTTGCTGCAAGAATTTTCATGTAACTCACAGTCGGATAGTTCACTTATCTAGCTTCATATGGGCGTGGTGACAGGCGCCTGTAATCCCAGCTATTTGGGAGGCTGAGGCAGGAGAATTGCTTGAACCTGGGAGGCGGAGGTTGCAGTGAGCTGAGATCGCACCACTGCACTCCAGCTTGGGTGACAGAGTGAGATTCTGTCTCAAAAGAAAAAAAAAAAGTTACGTTATGTATAGCCATCAAAGTTTTCTAAACCTTAGTCATTTTCAACAGCATTTACTTTTGCGATGCCATATTCCTGTTTCATTAATTACTTTTTTAAACTGTCATCTTATTCTATTTGCTTAAATAAATGTATTTTTCAAAGAAGCATTTTATCACTACCATCTGTAATTATTATCACTTGCCACATATTGGAAATACCTGTGAAAGTAAATACAAAAAGAATTTAGAAGGGAATCTCCATTCAACTGAGCAATGTGAATTGCATGAATGAGCCCTACCTATGGCGAGCTGGCTTAGCGCACGTCTCACATTTTGGGAAACATTAGTGTAGACTGCCTTCAGCACAGGATTTTTAAACTGAATGGTTTCACAACTTGTAGAAAAGGGGGAACAACACGGTGTAGCCATAGTACATGAGGAGGGATCAGAGTAGAATTAAGTGGTTAAAGAACTATGTCCAAATCGGACAACTTATTGACCAGAACATGGTCCACTGGAATAGGGTATCCATAGTACATTTAACAAATTCTGCCTGAGCCAGTTTGTTCCATGCCCCCCACACCCCAGCCCTTTTTTCTTTCTTTCTTTTCTTTTCTTTTTTTTTTTTTCTTTTAAGACAGAATCTCACTTTGTCACTCAAGCTGGAGTGCAGTGGTGCGATCTCAGCTCACTGCAACCTCCGCCTCCTGGGTTCAAGCAATTCTCCTGCCTCAGTCTCCCAAATAGCTGGGATTACAGGAACCTGTCACCATGCCCAGCTAATTTTTGTAATTTTAGTAGAGATGGGGTTTCACCATGTTGGCCAGACTGTGGTCTTGAATTCATGACCTCAGGTGATCCATCCTCCTTGGCCTCCCAAAGTGCTGGGATTACAGGCGTGAGCCACCACACCCGGCCTCTTCCCCATTTTTAAGTTAATTCTTTTAATTTTTAAGTTAATACTTTTTAATTATGGATCTAGTTTTTCCAGCTCTGATTAAAATATATATATATATGTATGTTTATGACATATATATGTTTGTGACATTTATTGCAATCTACTTCAGAAAACCTTTTTAAAGTAGAGGTAGTATGTAAAACTGCACTGACTGCCTACTTATCTGATGTGTATCAGCAGGAACTGGCCGACTGTTACTTAGCAAATGTTGTAGAAGGATGCAACACTGTTAACTGAGTCTAGTGTCCCATACAAGAACAAGATATAACTTTTTCTTTTGAAATAATTTCAAACGACAGAAAAGTTGCAAGAATAGTACAAATAATTTCCCCAAGCCCTTTTCCCAGATTTACTAATTCTTAACATTTTGTCACATTTGCTTTATTATTCTTTCACTCTCCCCACCTACCGCCATTTACATGTGCCTCTTTACCCCTAAGTACTTTAGCTTGTTCTTGTTTCCAAGAACAAGGATATTCTCTTCTAAAAACTGGGTATTATTATTAAAATTAGGAAACTGAACATAACTACAATGCTTTATAACCTATAACTCTTTTGCAAGTAGACTAATTAATGCTCTTTATTGCATTGATTTTTCCCCCCTAGTTCAGGATCATCACATTTTGCATTTAGCTTTCATGTCTTTTTACTCACCTTCATCTAGACCAACTCCAAATCTGCCTTTTTGTCTTCATGAAGTTGACATTTTTAGGGTGTATGGAATGTTTATTTTGTAGAATGCTACTCAATTAGATTTATCTGCCTAGGTTAATCATGATTAGATTCAGATTATACACTTTTGGCAACAATATTAGAGGTGCCATTGTGTCCTTTTCAGTGTATGGCATTAGGATATACATTGTTGGTGATGTTACTTTAATCCTTTTGTGTGTCTTGTGTCTGATAGATCTCCCCACTGTGAACTTATTATTTTCCCTTTGTAATTAATAATTTATGAGAATAGTTTGATAAATCTGTCATTAATCATCAAATCTTCACACACTACTGTTAGCATCTATTAAATTATTCTTGCCTAAATTCATTTTTAGTATGGCTGTGGAAAAATTATTTTCTTTTTTTAAGTTTTAATTCTTTTATTTTTAATTATGGATACATAATATTTGTACATATGTGGTACAGGTGAGATTTCGATACAAGCTTTCAATGTATAATCAAATCGGGGTAGCTGGGGTACCCATCGCCTCAAGCATTTCTCATTTCTTTGCATTACTTTGTATTGCTTTGTGCTTCTTTGTATTCCATTTCTACTCTTTCAGTGATTTTGTGACATATAGTAAATTATTGTAAACCATTGTTGCCCTGTTATACTACCAAGCACTAGTTCTTACTCTGTAATGGGTACAAAATGGTGATTTTCTAACTCTTATGTTTCTGCATTTAGCAGTTGGTATATGTATTAGGGTTCTCTAGAAGGACAGAACTCATGGAATAGATACATATATATAAAGGGGAATTTGTTAAGTATTAACTCACACAACCACAAGGTCCCACAATAGGCCATCTGCAGGCTGAGGAGCAAGTAGAGCCACTCCGAGTTCCAAAACTGAAGAACGTGGGAGTCCAGTGTTTGAGGGCAGGAAGCATCCAATACGGGAGAAAGATGTAGGCTGGGAGGCTAGGCTGGTCTCTCCTGTTCATATTTTTCTGCCTGCTTTATATTCGCTGGCAGCTGATTAGATGGTGCCCACCAGATTAAGGGTGGGTCTGCCTTCCCCAGCCCGGTGACTCAAATGTTAATCTCCTTGGGCAATACCCTCAGACACACCCAGGAACAATACTTTGCATCCTTCAATCTAATCAAGTTGACACTCAGTATTAACCATCACAAGCCCACCCCTTGTCATCTTGAGCCCATACACATCTCCTGAGATCAGACATAATCTTCAAATAAAGACAATAGTAAGGTCATAATTTACAGCTAACATAATACAACTGTCCTTCGTACAACCGAAAACGCACTAATTCCCAACCCAAATACCATTATATAAAGTTAACAATACTTAAATGCTGATATGAAGTCAGTAAATCCTGTGTCACATGATAAAGGAAAAGGAAATAAAATTAAGATAGTACAAGTGTACAGCTGCACAAACATGTTTTTAACAAAAGGAGGAAGTGCTCATGACAGTTACAGTCCTCTTTTCTGCCACTGGTCACGTGGTCATAGCCAGTATTGATGACTACCTTCTTCTACTACCCATTCTGTTTTCCCTTTGCCTTCAGCAAGCACCTCAGCAGGTTGTTTTTTTTTTTTTCCTGGTTGAGTGACCCAAACCTTCATTCCTGAGGGGTCTGGATCATTTGTAGTCCTGTCTGGATTGAGCTGTTGTAGTTTCCCATTGATCTTAATCACAGAGCATGGTAACACTAAGAGACGCCCTTATGGATCTCCTATATTCCATGAATACTCTTCCTTACCTCCGTTGTGAAGTAGTAGACTGATTTCATCTTGATAGTCTAGGTCAGTCACCTCAGCCAACACTGTAACTCCCTTCTTAGCCTGTTGGCTTAAAGGCAGGAGGAGCCCAAGGTGTCCAGGTGGCAATCTTAACTTCCAGTTTAATGGAATCATTGCATTCCTAGTGGCAGTGTTCCTCCCTCTGAAACTAAGACCTCTAGGCCAGCAGAACATAATGTTGCGGGAACAGGAAGCAAAAATTTTGCTAGTGGATCACTAGGGGTGATGGTGAGTGGTGCCACTTCCACTTCCACCCCTTAATTCCTGGACTTGTGAATCCTGGCTATGGGAGAAACAGTACTATATATTGGATGCTGATTCCCAGCATACATGGCCTTCTGGAGAACTTTGCCCCAGCCCTGCAAAGTATTGTCACCTAGTTGGCATTGTAATTGTAACTGCAAAAGGCCATTCCATCATTCTATCAATCCAGCTGCTTCAGGATGATGGGGAACATGGTAAGACCAGTGAATTCCATGAGCGTGAGCCCACTGCTGCACTTCTTTAGCTATAAAGTCAATGCCTTAGTCAGAGGCAGTGCTGTGTGGAATACCATGATGGTGGATAAGGTGTTCTGTGAGTCCATGGATGGTAGTCTTGGCAGACGCGTTGCATTCAGGATAGGCAAACCCACATCCAGAGTAAGTGTCTTCCAGTGAGGACAAACCTCTGCCATTTCCATGATGGAAGAAGTCCAATATAATCAACCTGCCACCATGTAGCTGGCTGATCATCCTGAGGAATGGTGGCATATCGTGGGCTCAGTATTGGTCTCTGCTGTTGGCAAATTGGGCACTCAGTGGTGGCCGTAGCCAGGTCATCTTTTGTGAGTGGAAGTCCATGTTGCTGAGCCTGTGCGTAACCTCCATCCCTGCCACCGTGGCCACTTTGTTCATGGGCCCATTGGGGAATGACAGGGGTGGCTGG